TTGGGATTCGGACCATTGTAATCCATCAAATCAGTGGTAAGATCCTTCATTAAAGCATACACATGTATATCGCATATTAAAACCATCTTAGTTTGGGACTCCAACGGATTTCTTCTTGTCTGTAACGCCGTCAACGGCGATCTGCCACCGAGGTCGCTTTCCAAACGCATCGGTGCCAGCGAGTGGATCCGAAAGTCGAGGGTGAAGATATCATACACAGCGTGGCATCGTTTTAATAAGATCACGCCCTAGGGATCCAAGTACCCTCCAAACACCCTCCTCAAAAGGTACTTGGACCCTCCAAACCCACCCCAAACACCTTCTCAGAGGGTACTTGGATCCATAGGGATGTATTACTGCTATAAATGGTGTATACCCGGGGAGTCAAAGACTATAAAAAGAATGGTCTTTAGGGGAACTGAAAGGGAACTTCCTTTACTCCAGCCGGTCAAAAAATAGTCTTTGGACTTCTAGGGTATATACACATGTTGGTTCCAAAAAGGCTTTTTGGCTACGAGACCTGCATCCTACGACAGTCAGGTCTCTTAATTCCTTGCGAAGAGGCACGTGTGCTCTGGGCCCTTCATCTCTTTCCCTCTGGGCCCCCGCACGCGACCCTCTGGAAAGAGGATGAAGCAATCCACGTTCTCCTGGGACCGTCGCTTCGTTCGCTCGGCTCTTCCGCGCGAAAACGGGTAAACATCCCCGTTTCAAAGGACCAAACGACGGATAAAATGAGCAAACACCAATGGAGGTTCCATGCTTTTGTTGGAGTCCCAAAGAGGCCCAACACCTGTAAATTTGCTCAATTGCTGAGTATCCTCACTCCTCATGCAATGGGGGGGATGCAACTTATCTCACCAGAACCAAAGCGCACCGGAACCGCCGCCGACCGGTCAGCGCAGGTGCTTCTTCTCCCCTGATCGCTCACGGCCGCTCCTTGCCCCTCATCCCATAGATCGCGGCGCCACCGGTGTCGCCACTGGTCGCGCCCAAGACCGTCAACCTGTCGTCCGCGGCCGGGATGTGATGAGTGGATCCAAGCGTTGAAGTCCAAAGACCGAACAACCATGCTACATACCATGGTTTCAAAGGTCTGTCTATTTGGGGAAGATGTCCACTTCTTCATTCTATACAGACAAGGAACATGATATGAAATCATCTGAAATCGACTCCGCGAGTCAGATGATGTTTAAAAAAGTCAGGATCTTTATGGTTTTGCCCGTTTTCGACTGAGGCAACGGGTGGGATATCTTCAGAACCTGCCATGGCGTCTGGATTTTGAAACTTCTTTTGGGAGCCCATTCTTAGACACCCCTTTGGGAGCAGTGTCTGTCCAACTGATTGAACAAACAGGACCTTGCTCAACAACGCGCAATGAACGTGGAAGTAGGAATATATGACGAAAACATGACCAAACCGGTCTATGACCAAACCAAGGAGGTCTCTGACAATGGCTAAGCATCTCTCAGATCGTTGATTTCCGCTTCAAACCACCACGGCGCCTAGCTCCCACACTTCCCGCTTCAGCTCCAAGCCGATCGTCGTCCCCGAGGCCTCTTGCCATTGCGCTTCAAGAAGTATTCATAGAGATTTCCCAAGGCCTCTCAATGAATTGGTCCAACATCGGTCTGAACGGTTTCCAAGCCTGGTACAGCTAAGCTCCCTGCCTGGTACAGTATGTGTGTGTTTTTATTTTCTTGCGGAAGACCCTCCTGGACACCTGGGTGTTCAGTCTTCTTGACTTGGAGAGGTCGACCGTAGCGGCCCTAGCGCAGCGCCTGTTGGTTGAAATCAGACTTCAACTTCGACCGTCCACGGGCGAAGTTGGAGTGAAGAGTGTGTCACTCAGAGATCTGCCAGTGACCAAAAAAAGCTCCTTCCGGTGACCGAAACCATGCTGAAATATGATTAGAAGCAGCAACTCCCAAGCACGCCATGGGACCTACAGCATGTTTACCGATCAGTTGGGGTAGTTGAATTCAGAGGTCAATGTATCCCATTGGTCGTGTGTTGGGATTGGTGATTCACCCCACCATTGCCACTGACACAAAACATGTCACCTCCGACTTCTGCATCCCGAGATCCGTGGTCCTGCATCACCTTCCGAGTCCTCCTATGGCAACGCTATGTCAACCTACCCTACACCTGGCTTTCAAGCCACCAGGGATCCTTGGACACGCCTTTCGCAGGGCTTGTCGTTCGCCTCAAAACCCGGATCCTGTCCGGCTTCGGCTCGACCGGCTCGCCCTAGGGATCCACTGCCACCCTTCTTCTCAGGTTCGGTACGACTGGGCCCGCCTAGCCCGGCGCCGTCTCATGTCCCGTCTCATGTCTCAGTGCCGAACACAGTCCCAACCGTGACCTGAGGTTCCGATGGTCCAAATGATCCACTATAGCTACATAGGCTACATACCCCAAGTGGCCACTGTCGGGATCAGATGTACGACACCTGCAGGTCTACACATCTGAAAACACCAACATCGCCGAGCCGACGGCAGCTGGTCTCTTTCGCCCGCTCGATCGATCTCGTCTCTCCTCCGGCTCCTACTCTCGGTGTGACCGGACGGAAGTGGCACTCCAGTGGTTCTTGAGGCCCATTTCCCGAGTGGGTGGGAAAAAACACTGGACCACTATATCAGGAGTGTGTGGTTCTTATGATGTGGTTCTTGTGTGTGGAAAACACCTGGTCTTGTCGTGTAACACATTCTAAAACCCTTACCCTCCCTGCAACAATCATGAAAGGAACATAGTCTTCCAAGGGGCCAGAACGTACCTTTTTCATCTTCCATGCCAAAGCTCCCGAGAATAGGGGTAGTCTTTTACACAGTCTTGCAGGCAGCCCAACTCCGCCAAGGACTGCACCCCACCAACTCGACTGGGAAAGACTCCAAAGAACCTGACTGACCAACTGACCAATTGGTCTCATCATCTATACCAGACACTCCATGTAAGCCATATATGCCTACATTGGGGTGGTTTGAGGGGTCAATGTAGGCATATATGACAGACATGGAGTGTCTGGGTATACCACACTTACCAGAACCCCGATTCTTGGACATGTCGAGCTTGTGCTGCCACCGGGTCGATGTTTTGACCATGGATACATCGAACATCGCGTGATGGCCATCTGAGGAGCAAGTATAGTACGATAGATGTGGGACAGCTCAGTCTAAATCACCGGAGCGCGATCTGTGTCACGCTGGCTTCGCCAGCTGATGGCCCGATGGCCCTTCCAGGGTCGAATCAGCACGGCAGAAGGTCCTCAGGTCCTGATGACTTGTTGTCATTCAAACTGATTTGGAATGGCTTTGTGCTCACCCCAACCATCCACGCGATCCCGCCCGTGCTGAAACTGGGGAAAAAACCCGACACGGAAAGGCGATGAAGACGTTCTCTTCTGTTTCCCACGCTCACTTCAGAGGAAGGCACACCTGGAGAAGTGTCAAACAGGGTGCGGCAGAAACATGGTAAAGGGCTCTGTTGGGGGGGAATTGAGCTAAACCGGACCAGCAAAGCGTTGTATAGTTCTTTAACAAGTGCGATTTACCCTGTTTGGATCGTTAAACTAAAGTAGATCATCGACCTCTAGTCTACTATGTTTGGGCAGTTTTGGGACACGGATGGCCCCAAAAGAAACCTTGCCAATCGGAAAGCTACCCACAAAGGAAACATCCTCGTCTCGTTCGTTCAGAATGCGCATTCGATGCTTCGAGTCGTGTAGCTTGGGATCCACTTCCCATGGCGTAGGGGTCGGGTTCACCGCCAGAGAGGAGCTCCTGAAGCTCCAGGAACGAGACCATCCTTTAAGGGGTGTGGTTGGTTTGGAGATCCTTTCGAAAAAGTTGTTGGGGTTTCCAGCCCATGTGATTTCAGTGCAGCTGGTGCTTCAAACCTGTCTCATGATAATCCTCGCCCTTGGCAAAAGAACCAATCAGGCCGTGTAACAGTCACAGAATCCAAACCCTAGCCTTCAAGGACCACGAAAATAGTTTTTGACCTGGAGTTGTAGTCTGAAGCCATTAGCAAAACAGGGATTGCTCCGCAAAAAACAGAACATATTTTTAAAAAACAATCAATGGTGGAGCAAGAATCCTAATCGACACTGCAAAAAACGACATGGACCCCTCAACGACCAGTCGTCCTCTTGGAGAGGGCGGATTCGGGAAAGCCAACGAAAGGCTACCAAACATCTTCCCCTGAGGAAGCCAGGAACTTGACCCAGGAGCCGCAGACGTGGTGGCGCCACCGGTGGCGGAACTGGGACAATCAAAAGAAATTTAGACCCCCAAAGTCCCTTAATATAAAAAAGTATATATCCCCCATCCACATTGCGGATCACTATATATCATACTACATCATACGTCCATGCTTTCCACCCAATCACTCAGTCCTTCCGGGCTTGTTAGTTTCGCACCGAGGCGGACGGAACAGCTTCACCGGCGAGAGTTAGATCGGCTTGGAATGAAACACGCCAATGAAAATTGAAGCTGCGGCATTGGCCACCTCTGCCTGTTACTATCCACATTGCTTCTTAGCTTGGTCAAGGCCTTCGTATTGCACCCAGCAAGCCAGCGAAGCGCAATTTAGCATATCGGAACAAAGGCTGAGACAGACCCTGGGAGAATCGGATATGTTCTGCTGCAGGTGAAACATCACTCGAATTCGTACTTAGTGCCGTGAACCTCGCCTCAAATCGGATTGCAACTTGACGTGCCACTGTGGTCGGGCTTCTGTATACTGTTCGAAACTTTATGTGAATTACACTCGGCGCATGGTTGAGGTGAGGCCTCGCATCGCTAGAGCAGTGCGAAAGAAGTAAATCGGTACAAAGAAACCGCATCTAATGTACAGTGCAGGTGAAACAGCAAGGAACAAGGAACAAATCGAATGAACATTTCGAGATTACCCGCCCTCCGGCCAGTCACCTCAGCGCCTCACCTCGCTTTCCCCCATCGCATCTATCACATCAGCACGCGTTCCGATGCCGAACGTGGCCTTCAGTGGCTGTCCTCGAAGGAGAAACCCGACTTCAAGGACGGCCGGACGGCCACGGCCTCGGCACCGGCGCGGTCGGCCGTCGGATCGCGAGGGAATCGTGGCGCGCGCGCGGGGAGGGAGCACCGAAAAGGAACGCGAGCTTACGTGGCGGTAGATGGAGGCGTGAGCTTAGGAAGGGGGGAAGGGAAGAAGCTTTCAAGAATCCTGCGGGAGGGTAGACTTCAAGGGAAACATCCCAGTGATGACAAGGATACAGTGATACTTCGAAGGCTCCTCCGGTGGGAGGGCAAACTTTCAGGGTACTCCAAGATGTCAACTTGTTTCTTTATGCCTTCTCTCGTGGAGAAAAAAGCTCAAGAGACCTGTCTGACAGCAGTTTCAAAACATGGCGCCAGTTTTTGGTCGGCGAAACGGAACTGCTATACGTTCACAGAACTGCTAATTACACAGTTGGAAGATCCAGGTACTGATCCAGGTCTATTATGAGCTACCATCAGTCCCTCAGGAATTTACAGGCACCTCCTACTCTTCGATGCTCACGTCCCTTCACCGGTCAGCCGGTGACGCGTGGTCCACCGATGCTCCGCCCAGCGGCGCTGTCGTCGTGGTCCTCCGTGGTCTGCTCGGCGGTGGTCATCGTGGGCCCCGCGGAGAGCCGCGCTTTCACCTGCAGATGAGTTAGAGCTGAAGCAGGTGAGTGCGAGGTGAGTGCATAGGTCTATAGGGTATGTTTGGGCAAGTGGTATGTGGTATGTTCTACAGGGCAGAACACGTGCTCAGATGTGGATGGTTCCTTGGATGAGCCCACACATAGGCTGGGATGTGGGCGGGTCTGGGTGCTGGAAGCTCCCACTCCCCAAGTGGGGGGAAAACCATTAGGAGGTCCTGGTCCCAACAAATTTCGGATGATGAATAACTGTTTTGGGCACTTGTCAATCCAATATAGCGCAATAACGGCAATAAGTTACTGTGCAAAAGGCATCAACGTTGCACAGTTGGAAGAGGGCATAAGTAAATATTCGTTGGCTCTCCCGCATCTATCCCTTGCAGATCCAGGCAATCCTGGACAGCTGTTCTTCGTCCACCTTTGAGCCCCGGTCGCTCTGCGCGAGCTACGCTCCGCGACGCCGAAAAAGACGACGGGCGCCGAGCGACGGGCTTCTTGCGGGCCTCCTGGGGCGACAGGCTCGTGGCGGCCGCACGGATGAGCGCAGCTTGGGCCGTCTCTTGGGGGCGAGTTTTAGACGGAGCCGGGCTGAGGAAATGACTGGTGACGGTGAGGTGCACGAGCTTGTATCAGGTTCCCTGGCCTTCGGTTCGACCACTTGAGAAATGATGTGACCGTTTTGACCCAGTAGCCTGGTCATTAGCCTATATATTATAGTCCATACATTCCAAAAAACCTTAGTTTTCAACTTATAATGTTTTTTAAACATTTTAACTGTTTTTTGTAGCCTAAAGTCCATTGCAGGTCAATTGAACGATGCGAACGGTTGTGAACCGGTGAACCAGTGAAGCAAACGAACGACTTCCACCTGTTTTTTTATCGGAGTGGGGTGGTAACTCACTCACCAATGCCCCCCCCAAAGAGGCAGTGCCTGCCTGCTCGCGGATAATGAGACATGGAATGAAACCCAGTTGTTTTTGTCCAAGGAAAGCGAGCTCAGCTCACTTGAAAAATATCTATCCATGGTTTCAATCATCCCAAGTTCCCAAGTACAGGTTGAACATACCGATATCTGAAACCACCACACAGTCTGGATCACCTGCAGGTTCGGGCTGAGATTTCTCCAGCCAAACACCGAACATATCTTGAAGGTTCATTCTTTGAGGTTTTACAATCCAGTTGGGGGGTCACTGTATGAATCATCAGCCAGCATATCATGAGATCTAAATCTTCCGGCCCGACACCTCCACCTGTATCTCGCTCCATCTCCACCTGTAGATTTCAACTATCGAATCGATCTTGCCATTCCCCGTTCTTTTCAACGTACCTTCAACTATCGTCAAAAAGGGACCAAACAGGAAGTTTGGAGATCTAGAAACCACAAATCTTCCGGATCTTGAATCATTTGAGGTCATTCCATCTTCCTAAAAAAAAGATGTTGAACATAGTTGAACATCATCTTAACACATTCATATGTCACAGTATAATCTTGAACCTCCTCCAGGGCCCCCTTTTTACAGATTCTAGTAGCGGGGGGTATACTGACCCCATGGAGGGTATACTGACCCCGGACCCAGTGGAATTCACCTCGACCATCTAACGAGCTCGGCTCGGCAGGCGCTCCTCGATGGCCCGGCGGAGGACCGGACCAGCCACCTGACGGAGAGGACGGTGGAGGACGGTGTGTGGACCGTGGAAACAGGACGGTGTGTTCTGTAAAACCAGGCAGTTTTAGGTTGGTTTGGGTGGAATTTGGTGGAATTGACCTTGGTTTTGGTGGATTTTCTGAGAAGGTATACTTGGTTTAAGCGTTGAGGCAGCTGGTCTCAGTGGATTTGGGGGAAAAAGGCCTTAGTTCGTAGCTCAGAACTGGCAAGACACACGTTCATTCACCAGGCACTCTCGCCGTGTCTCTCCAGCATTCCCATGAGTTCGATGGAGGCACGGCACCGTGGTCGTCGTTTCAGTCGTTTGGCAAACGCCGGATATGGCAAAATGCCAGTGGTCCACCCAGTCCCAACCAGAAACAAGTCTGCTTGTTCCAATATGGCCATTGAAATCCTTTACATAGGAAATGGCTGGGACCTGTTGACCTGTTCTCCAGAAAATCTGGACCGGCAAAGGAATCGCTGAGCGGGCTCGCTCTGACTCGACTCAGCACCGAGAATCTATTTCCCTTCTGATGGGAGCCAAGACATGGTACTTTTCCGGGGTTCTAGGGGGGACCCCAAAAAACATTTAAGACACCTGTGATCTGGATGCTCTCGACCAGCTTGCTGCTCAAGCTGAAAACCCTAAATCCTAAACTCTTGAACCCGTCACGCGACCAGCTTCCTTGGTTGGGGTCCTGATTTGGGCTCCTGGCCGACCTCCGTTGGGGCTCGGTACGGGGGGTTGAATAGCACCGAACCTGAGGAGATGGGACAGGAGCCCCAGGGAAACATATTGACAATGTGTGTTTCTCAAAAAGATCACTGCCGCGTACATCCGCTCACATCCACGGTGATGTCCGAAGGTGAACGATTCAGGCGTTCACAGAAGAGGAGAATCTACCAAGAAGCAGGACCCATGGTGTCCTTCTGTGGTCTATCTTTCAGATTCACCTTCACTGAGCACTGACAGATCTGCGACTCACTGAAGTGATCTCAGCTCTTCAGGAAGAGGCTTCGCCGATTCGAATGGCAGGTAGCAAGTGGTTCACCACCTAACGTAGAGGAGCCTGGCCACATGGCCGCTTTAATCTTGCTGCGCAAAACCGAGGGATTTCTGGGATCAACGACATCGAAGATTCCACATTGACCATCACTGACCATCTTGACTACACAATCTAATACTTTAAGCAATCCACAAATTAAGGATATTGACCATGCCCAAACCGACATGGACCACCAAAATAAGACCCTTCTCATGAACCTGTGTCACAGGCCTTCAGGCAACAACTCGGCAACAACTCGGCAACACAACCCGCCAGCAGACGACCCCCACGCAGTCTGCGCCAGTCTGCGCCTCCTTCAGGTTCTCCAGCTTCTGCTTCGTTTCCAGCAATCTTGCCTGGAGAACCGTCGAGCCCTCGAGCCGTCCGCGCGGGCCCGTCAGCCGTCTTCGTCTCGCCCAGCAGCGCTGTCCCTGGACTCGGAGGACTGCTCAACGAATGGGAATGGAAGAGGTGCCAAGATGTGCTTTTCTTCATGTGGATGTTACAGCTGTGGGGTCGCACCAAAGAGAATGGGTGTGAGAAACGAGACATTGTCGACATGTACACCTCTTGAAGCGAAGAATTTCACTTCAAAACAAGGCAGACTCCTCTTGGTATCCTTTCCTACTCAGCAAAACTGCCGCCACTTCTTCGACATCGTCGAACATGACACCTGAAGACATCTGAGTCAAAATCAATGGTGCTTTGCATCCTCCCCCGGGCATCCAGTTACCACCATGTCGCTGGTAACCAGTGGTTCCAGTTCGACTAAAGCCATCGATTTAGAACTCCTGGTGCTTTTATGTAGTGGTAACTGGGATGCACTGGGCTGGGGAATATATATATATATACAGTATATATATATCCCTAGGCTCCAACTACCTCCTAAGAAGGTGGTGAGGGTGGGTTTGAGGGGTCCAACCACCTGAGGATATGGTTGGAGCCCTAGGGTATATAGTATATACTTGACGCTACAAAAGTCAAACTTGATGCTTTCATGATGAAGCATCACGTAGAACCCTCCTCAAACTGGAATAACCCTTTATATTCCCCTTTGGGAGTTAGGTAGTACACAGTATAGCTTGAGCAGTGGTCAACCCATATCGTAGCTCATTTCATCTTGAAACCAAAACTAGCTGGCCTGGACTTTCAACCACCACGAATATCTGCAAGCCTCCCGGCAGGGTCTTTCCAGGATATCGCAGTTTCAACCCTTTTCACCTGCGCAAAATCACTTTCCCGCACTCCAGTGTTTTTTGTGCCTTCCTCAGGTGCACGGCCACCATGCGGCAGAGTAGAACAGGAGTTCTCAGCTGCAGAACCAGCTTTTGAACTCAACTCGGTCAGCTCCAGCTTCGAGCAACAATTGCACAACTTCCATCTGGCCTTTCTCAGCTGCGATCATCAAAGCCGTTGCACCATCTCTTTTTGCTGCATCTTTGTCAGCTCCAGCCTCAAGTAACATCCGCACAATTTCCAATTTTCCGTTCTGAGCTGCAAGCATCAAAGCCGTTGCCCCGCCAGTCATAGCTGAATCTTGGTCAGCTCCAGCTTCAAGCAACAATTGCACAACTTCCAAGTGGCCTTTCTCGGCTGCAAGCATCAAAGCCGTCGACCCATTTTCGTTTGCTGCATCTTTGTCAGCTCCAGCCTGGAGCAACAATCGCACGACTTCCAAGCGACCCGTCTCGGCTGCCATGATCAAAGCTGTTGCCCCAGTTTTCCCTGTTATTTCTTTGTTGGCCCCAGCCTCGAGCAACAATCGCACAACCTCCAAGTGGCCGTTCTTGGCTGCAACATCCAAATATACATAACCATTTGGGTCTTGCGGTTCTTGAAGCAGCCTTTCAACATCAATGACTTTGTTGTATCGACAACCATCAAGTAGTTCTCGTTCTCGATCAGAATCCGGATCAGAAGCACAAAAAGGCAGAACTACCAGCTGGCAAGATGGTAGTGGTCTCAAGGGCATGTCATCCTGCAGTTCGACTTCGTCACTGAAGAGTCTTTGCTGAAACCTGGAGCACCCAACTTGAACTGAGAGGAGTTGCTTTAGATCACGAATGGTTTCCCCACTTTCCACCATGTGAAGGAACTCCTCCTCATCAAGCTGGGCAACTGTTGTCCCGGACAAAGCCGTGACCAGCATCATTGAGATTCAGAAGCAAGCGATGCCGGCTTGAGCCGTGGTCTGAATCAAGGCTGCAAAAACTGTGTTGGAAGGTCCAGATCTGTTCCACGAAGTATGAGGATCTCTTTAAAATGATGATCTATCTCACAGAAAGGAACATGGACACCCAGCACAGCAAGCCAACCCTGGAGAATCTACGTATACGCGACTTTAGTATGAAGGAATGCATACGAGCAACTGGCCACACCAACAAAAACCCAATAGACCATCTATCTATGGAACCCTTTAGAACACCTCAAAAGGACCCTAATGTATGCAAAGATTATAAATTATATACCAATGGATTCTTGTGGAAAACACCATCCAAGAATATCTGCAAGCCTCCCGGCAGGGTCTTTTCAGGATATCGCAGTTTCGACCCTTTTCACCTGTGCAAAACCAAAACCACTTTCCCGCACTCCAGTGCTTTTTGCGCCTTTCTCAGGTGCACGACCACCATGCGGTCCAGAGTAGAACAGGAGTTCTCAGCTGCGGCTCCAGCTTCTTTCCATCAAAGAAATCAAAAAAGCTATTCTCGGATCGCTGATTGCTGCATCTCGGTCAGCTCCAGCTTCGAGCAACAATCGCACAACTTCCGTCTGGCCTTTCTTAGCTGCGATCATCAAAGCCGTTGTTGCTGCATCTTTGGCAGCTCCAGCCTCAAGTAACATCCGCACAACTTCCAATTTTCCGTTCTGAGCTGCAAGCATCAAAGCCGTTGCCCCGCCAGTCATAGCTGAATCTTGGTCAGCTCCAGCTTCAAGCAACAATTGCACAACTTCCAAGTGGCCTTTCTCGGCTGCAAGGATCAATGCTGTTTTCCCATTTTCGTTTGCTGCATCTTTGTCAGCTCCAGCCTGGAGCAACAATCGCACGACTTCCAAGCGACCGGTCTCGGCCGCCAAGATCAAAGCTGTTGCCCCAGTTTTCCCTTTTCTTTCTTTGTTGGCCCCAGCCTCGAGCAACAATCGCACAACCTCCAAG